TATTCAGGCTATACAGCGCGTCGCTTTCAGGGGACACTCTAGCACTTACACAATAATCAAAACGATTCATGTTATGATTTTTTTCGACAAGTTTTATGCTGGTTGTCGACTACCTGACGCAACCCTCCATTTTTCACATCAACACCTCATAAATCGCATGCCACTTCACATTTCTTCTACATATGAATAGTTGTTTGGATTTTCTCCCAACTACTCCAATTTCATGTGTTTGATTGCCTCAACTTCAAATGGCTTCATCCGCACACCACAAATAACTTCACTCTCCCTCTAAACCATGTATTCTTCAACTAGTTTTTCAATCAAAAAGTTTATCATTATCTCAACACCACTGTATCCAAAATCGATGACTTATGTCATGTTTGTTGATTCTTTTTTTCTCTTTTCATCACTTTTATCATCTCATGAGACCTTTGAAAAAATAACCTCCTTGAGTTGTCCCCCCCTATACTTCATTTGTCCTTCAGGCCTCCCTTTATGCACATCATCCATAACATCTTCCTCTATAACGCCACCATGTACTGCTATATAGACATACACCAATCAAACCACCCTATAACCCATGCCCTCTCCTTTGCCAATCAAGAGTCAATTAATCCATTCTCCATCTATCACTCAAGCAACTCCAATCATATCAAAACCCTCCATCTATCTCCATAGCTAACCAAGGAATATATACCACAACACTACTTCCCCCACCCCAATACCACTTACTAAATAACCATTAAAGCCAAAAAATATATATTCACAAACCAATCGACAAACTCACTCTCAAAACAAAATTAAATCAAGTAACTAATCTTGAATCAATCACTGTGACCCAATAACTTAATGATTAAAATGGCCATTACGCCAAATCAGATTATTATAATACTTTTATTCAAAATGGAATATGGGGACTTGTTTCCCTCACCTCCATTTAAAATTTGGATGGATGCAAGGTGAATTTTTATATAAGACGTAACTTCAATGAGTTTCTTTATAGGTATAATGCTCAGTTGGTTGCTAAGAATTTTCACTAATTGTTGGGAATTGACTATCATGACACATTTACTCTACTGTTAAACCCGCAATCACATATCTAATTATCAAGATAATTGTCAATTAATGGTGGTTTGTGCATTAATTGTATGTTAACAATATCTTTCTTCAAAGTTATATTTTATAAAATCAACTTCATGGCTCAACCACAAGGTTTCATCAACATAGACCATCCTAAATATGTGTGCAAGCTTCAAAAAACCAAATATGCTCACAAGCAAGTTCCTCCTTCCTAGTACCCTGAGTTGCAAAAATTTTTACTTGCTTCTACCTTCTACTTCACTAAATCTCTTGTTGATACATCTCTCTCTCTCCTCAACACCGATAACATCCTCATCTATCTTCTCATTTATGTTGATAGCATTAATGTTACATGCAACTCTAACACTATCATAATACATTTTCCCGTTCTTCTTGCCCAACAATTTTCCATCAAAGACCATGGTCCACTACGCTATTTTTTTGTGTAAAAGTTGTTTCATGCCCAAATAGACTTCTCTTATCTCAACATCGATATATAATTAATCTTTAAACTCACACTAGGATAACAGATGCCACTCCTGCCACTACACCTATTGCCACAACACCAACGCTCACTATTCACTTTGTCTGTGCACTCACTGATTCAAGTAATTATAGAGTTGTAGTGGGTATTCTATGGTATTGAGCTCTTATTCTCTCAAATATAGCATTTGCAGCTAAAAAACTAGCACAATTTATGCACCGCCCAATCACTAATCATTAAAAATATAGCTAGATTGCTACTACATTTTGTATGCATCACCATCGATCATAGTCTAGTTTTTCAAGTGACTCAACACCTCGGCTTCATGGATTATTTGATATTAATTGGGAGAATCACATCATTCATTTTAGTGGAAACCTAATATCAAAGTGTCAAAAAAACAAAGTATTATGGCCCGATCCTCCATCATGGTTGAATATCATTCTCTTGCCAACACTATTGTTGAGTTTCACTGGGTATGTTTTCTACTCATTGAGCATGACATTCTCTTTCCTCAATGCCCGATGATTCATTGTGACAATGTTTATGCTACTCATCTTTGTGTGACTCTTATCTTTCACTTTCAGATAAAATATGTGACAATAGATTAGCATTCAATTTGAGAACAAGTTCAAATTGGTGCCCTTCGTGTCACCCATATATGGTGTGAGGATAAACTAGTAGATGCTCTCACCAAACCGTGCTCAAAATCTCTATGAGTATCAAGGTTGAACCTTTGACCATAGCTTCATCATGAGGGGCATATAAAAGAATAACGCATTCATTATATTATTTGGTTAGTTTCCTTTTCTCAAAATTGTCTTCAGTTAAACTTAGCTTGATTTGTGACATTTTCTTTTTGTATTACACCTAACATTGTCTCTTTTATTATGTCACTTTGAATCAATTGAAAAAAAGGTATGCATTCTTCCCATATCCAATGGATTTTATCTTTCAACTGTCACGAAAGAAAATTTACCAGTACTAGAAAAGAGCGGGTTCTATGTTCCAGAAATAAAAGCCAAGGGACTGGAAAGCTACCATTTTGACTCTCGGATCGATTGAGTGGAGAAAAGTGCGCGGAGATTCTATGAACTGACCAATGGGACTGGAAGTGGCGCCTGATATAAGCCTTAGAATCCGCTCCAGGGAAAAACTCCGAGGAACCCACGCAGTCCAACTGGGAGCCTCCCCATCGCCATCTTTCATCACCGGAGAAAAGCATCTCGCCAGAGCCCTTCTCCTTCGTTGAGCCACAAGCGTCCAAGTGTTCGTCGGTACAATCAGAAGAAGCCTAGGATTCGAACAATTCGACGAATGCCCTAGAAAATTTTTCAGAGTACTGATGGGAGGAGATGTAGTTGCTGGGCAGCGGGAAGAAAGCAGTGGAAGGGATGCGTGTAATATCGCAGTCATCGGCGGGAAGCGTGCGAATTGTCCCCGAAAATTAAGTGCAAGTACTATTTAGTATTAGTGTGATTTTGGGTATGTTTGTGTAAGGCTGTCTTGAATAAGTTAGTTACCTATTTATTTTTATAATTTGAAAACAGTGTTATAGTTTTATCTAGATAAATGTTATTTTGACATATGTATGGTAATCTGGTTTGAAATAGAATTGTCGTGTCAATATATTTTAAATTTTAAAAGCAAAAATTTAATGCATAACAGTACAAAAAAAATACGCATATTACTTATCAGTGATTATTATGATTTCTAAAACTATAAAAAAGACTATTAAAATAATATTTAATAATATAA